CCCTCACCCTCAAACCCCTCACCCTCCAAACCCAAACCCTACCCCTCACCCTCAAACCCCTCACCCTCCAAACCCAAACCCTACCCCTCACCCTCAAACCTCTCACCCACCAAATCTCTCAAGCTCCAAAATCCACCCCAAAGCCAAAACCCGCAGCATCCAAACCCTAAACCCATCAAACCTTACAACCTCCAAACCACTCCCCCCATCAATCCTACACGTTGTATTTCCCACCTTCCCAAACCTAATAATCTGACGGCCCACCTTCCCTGTCACTTCCACATAGGCCGGTCCCAGACCCTGACTCTTAGCTCCTCAAGACCAAGACCATCTGTGAGTGAAGCTGCTGGATCTCTGCATCTCACACCTACTGACTGTGGATAGTCCCCGTGCTGCCTCCTATAGTCAAATAGACATATCGAGGGTTGGTTTTAAGCTGCAGTTTGACCAATGCTCTCTCCAGTGTGATCACCCCTCACATCACTATCTCCGAACCTATCGTCACGAAGCAATATTTAGCAACTCCAAATGAGACAGTTCACCTTTCCTCCTAAATCTGGAGAGTGCATATTTGTTACCTGTTTTTCCTCTGCTCCCCTTCTGTCTGTTTGGCCCATCTTGTCTGTGCCAGCTCTAAGAATGAACTATTCAGTGCCCTTCTCCCTTCACTCCTGCTCATTCTTCCTCTTCACACCTCTCTTTTGATGGTCTCAATTGAAACTGTATCCACCGCACCCTCAGGCAGTGCATGGCCAAATCCCGAGTGCTCACTGACTGAGAATGTGTCACTACTACTTCTTTTACCCAGCCCCTTCAATCTGTGCTCCTCTCATTCTTGACCCTCCCCACACTGGGAACAGTGCCTTCGTCTCAATTCTGTCCAGGTCCCTTCTAATGCTGAACTGTTCGATCAAGTCTCCTCTCAACCTCCTCAGATCCGAGTGAAACAGACCCAGTTTCTCCAAACTACCCTCATCACTGAAGCTCCTCATCCCTAGAACCATTCTCCTGAACCTTTTCTGCGCCCTCTGTGATACCTCTACGTCCATCTTATAATGCGCCTTCCAGAACCAGACCACAGTGCTCCAGCTACGGCCAAACTAGTGTTTTCTACATCGCCCAATACACGTGACTATTCGGCCAAAGAGGGCATTATAGTCAGACCTCACCTGATCCCTCACCAGCCTTGACCTCACTGTGAGGGGTGTCCTGGGCTGTGAGGAATCCCCAGTTTTGTTTTCTAACCGACAACACTTGTCCCCAAGAGCCTCTGCACCAACCCACCATCTGGCGAGGGCACTGAGTCCAATTGGTATAGTTCTGCACATTGAGAGTGGGGCACCAGGCCAGCTCTGTCTCTGGAACAGGTTTCTCATGACGCTGAGTAATGTTTCTCTGAGTTCAATGGCAATTATAATTTTACCAGGAATAGTTTTCTCTCTTGTCCACACTTTATACACTTTAATGACCCCAAATACCAGTGGAGGGGGGGTCACCTGACCCGAGTCGTTTTGCTCACCTTCAGAAGTCAAGGGTACATTTTGCAGAATTCCTCCCTTTGTTTTGAAATCTGGACTTTATAACAGTAGCAAATTGCATTTATATATCTTCTGAACATCCTGAAACACGTGATGGGAGTGGCTATTGGGAGAATTTGACACCAGAGCCCCATGAGGGGGTATCAATGACGACTGATCAAAACCTTGGTTATAGATCTTGGTAATGACTGGGTGCTGAAAGGTGGAGAGAGGGACAGTGGGCTGGAGAGGTTTAGGGAGGGAATACCAGAGCTTGGGGCCCAGGCAGCTGAAGGCATGGCCACCAATGGTAGAGTGATGGGAGTTAGGGGATGCTCAAGAGGCTGGTATTGGAGGTGTTTACAGAGATAGGGAGGGGTGTAGGGGCTGGAGGAGATTATAGAGATAGGGAGGGGGTGAAGGGGCTGGAGGAGGTTACAGAGATAGGGAGGGGTGTAGGGGCTGGAGGAGGTTACAGAAATAGGGAGGGGTGTAGGGGCTGGAGGAGGTTACAGAAATAGGGAGGGGTGTAGGGACTGGAGGAGGTTACAGAGATAGGGAATGGTGTAGGGGCTGGAGGAGGTTACAGAGATAGGGAGGGGTGTAGGGGTTGAAGGAGGTTACAGAGATAGGGAGGGGGTGTAGGGACTGGAGGAGGTTACAGAGATAGGGAGACCAGAAAACAAGGCTGAGAATTCTAAGCTGAGGTGTTCCCAGAGCATGTGGCAATGTAGGTCAGAGTGTACAGGCGGTGATGGGTGAGTGGGATATGATATGAATCAGCACATAGGGAGGCAGTTCACCTTTTTTTGGTGAGTTGCTGTTTGCAAAGACTTGGGAGACAGGATGCCAGGCCAGAGGGGATGGAGTTCAACAAACGTTGATCCTGGAACTCGCTGCTGGTTAACAGGGAGCATTAGGGGTGGGTCAAATGAAATTACAAAATTTAATTCGAGGGTCAATCTTCATGCAGCTGCTTTCCATCCCAGTCATCATTTTCATGTCTTAACTTATATAATTTTTGGAGCAACTGGTTTGCAGACTGTTGATCAGCGTCCATGTTATCAATAGGCTGTAAAGGCACTAGAGAAGGTGCAAATAAAACTTACAAGGTGCTACTCAAACAGAGACGTTCAAATTATCAGGAGATACTGAACAATCTGAGGCTTGTTTCTCTGGAGGAGAGGAGGCAGAGGTGGAGGCTGGGAGACCTTTTCGAGGTCTTTAAAATGATGGGGTGGACGTGGGGAGGACCAGAACTTGGGACCATCTATCTTACACAGTCCCCAATGAATTCTGTCAATATTTCAGGAAAAACGTCTTCACCCAGAGGGTGAGGGAATGTGGGCCTTGCTCCTACGGGGAGTGGGCGAGGAGAGTAGTATTGATACGTTGAAGGGGGAAGCTGGATAAATACACAAGGAATAGGAGGTTGCGGAAGAGGAAGAGGGGTGGGTGCAGGCCTCGTGTGCAGCAGAAACCCCAGCACAAAGCTGATGGGCCGAATAGCCTGCGCTGGAACTTTTCTGTTCTGGCCACAACAATAACTTATAATTATAAAGCTCTCCAACACATGACAAAATGGATCCCCACATGAAGAAGAGTTTAGGAGAGTTGGAGGTTGGGATTGGAGATGACAAACTAAAGATTACCTTTTGAGTTGGGGTTTTAAGGAGCAGCTGCAGGAAGGTAAGAGGTTTAGGGAGGGGATTCCAGAGCTCAGGGCCCTGGAAACTGCTGGCCGCAGGCAGGAGGGAAAGATGGTCAGTCTATGGTGAGCTCCTCACCTGTACAACATGCCAGTACGCTTAGCGATAGTGTCGTTCAGAGAAAGCCGGCATTCCTGAAGGAACATCTCCAGCCTACGATTCTCCAGGGCTTTCCTGGTCTCCTCTGTGAATAGATCACCCCTCTGCCCAGGGGTTCTGCCCATGGCTGACTTGATAGGTGGTCCTACACACTTGGGCTTCTTGTTGGCGTTGAGGCCATACAGTTCCTCCACTGAAAACTTCGCTCTCCCGGCTGCTGATCCCCCCCCACCTCCACCACCCCCTCCACCACCCCCTCCCGATCTTGAGCCAACCATGGGGCTCTTTTACTCCTCACACTCACTCATAATGGTTAGAAAACACTCCAGCTTGTGTCCAGAGTCAAGCACACTGCAGGTAGCGAGGACTATCTGTCTCGTGTCCTTCACTCACACTCACAACTCCAGCACACACAAACTGCTCCGTCACACACACAGTTCTGTCTCACACATATTCACAGCTGTCTTAGTCATGCTCACAGCTCTCACATACACTCACAGCTCCGTTGCACATACATCGAACTGTCTCACACACACACAGCTGTCTCACGTACACTCAATCTCAGGCTCTCTCTCTCTCTCTCACACACACACACAGACACACTCACAGCTCTGTCACACACACACAGCTCCGTCACACACTCACTCACAGCTCTGCCACATTTACAGATCTCTCTCACACACACTCATAGCTCTGTCTCACACACACACACAGCTCCATCACACACACACTCACAGCTCTGTCTCACACACACTCACAGCTCTGTCACACACACACAGTTCCAGCACACATTTATTTGCTGCTTCTTGTATGAGTGAAATTTGAGAGTTGCCTCCAGCTGCATCAGCAGAAAAACCCACAGACAGATGACATTATGGTAACGCCGTGCACAGACCAGGAGGAACAGCAATGCAGCTGACTTGCGTGTGCATTCCACTCCAATTCACATTTACAAATGGTATATTAACCTTTCAGTCATCACTCATGTTGTGTAACAGGTAATTTGGAAGTCACCTTTTTGAAGTAGTTGGAATGCCTGATGGGGATAGAGTAGAAAGAGCTTTACACGACATTGAGCCCCGTGTTATACCTGTCCTGGGAGTGTTTGATAGCGACAGTACCGTGGGAGATTTGTTTTCAGTTTGTAAGAGTAGAGAAGGCTTGACTGTACATGTAACCACATGTTGTATCTGTCCCAGAGTTTGATGCAGACAATGTCGAGGTAGCTTTACTTTCAGTTTAAAAGAACAGAGGGATCTTTACTCTGTATCTAATCCCATGCTGTCCCTATCCTGTGTGCGTTTTGGGGAGTCCCAAACTTAGAGGACGTTGGTTTAAGGTGAGCGGGGAGAGTTTTAAAAGTTTTAAGAGGGGTAGCTTTTTCATACAGAGGATCGTGCACGTATGGAACTAGCTGCCAGAGGAAATGGTGGAAGCTGGTACAATTACAACATTTAAATGGCATCTGGATGGGTACAAGACTAGGAAGAGGCTAGGGGCACATGGTCCAAATGCTGGCAAACGGGGCTAGGTTAATTTAGGATATCTGGTCAGCATGGACGAGTTGGATCAAAGGGTCGGTTTTAGTGCTGTAGAGCTCTATGACTCTATCCCTGCCCTGGGAGTGTTTGGGAAAAGCATTGGGCTCACAGAGTGCAGCACTCTCAGATGTGCTGTTAAGCTGAGGCTCTGCCCACACTTTCAAGTGGAAATACTGTAGGATCGTCCCTCAAAGAACATCATTTTGAGAGGGTGTGGAAGAGTGTTTGATTGGGGGGGAGGGGAACAGTGTAGAGGGAGCTTTACTCTGTATCTAACTCTGTGCTGCCCCTGTCTTGGCAATGTTTGATGGGGAGAAGTGCAGAGAGAGTTTTTCTCTCCCTGTGTAGTCTCTGTCGGAGTATTTGATGAGGACAGAGTAGAGGAAGTTTTACTCTATATCTAACCCCGTGCTGTCCCTGTCCTGGGACTGTTACATGGGAATGGTGCAAAGGGAGTTTTACTCTACATCTAGTCTTGTGCTGTCCCTGAGCTGGGGGTGTTACATGGGAATGGTGTAGAGGACGTTTTACTGATATTTGAAGGTGGCACTGGCTGGCTGTAACAGAGATTGTCAGTGACCACCTTCAACTATAAACACAGGCTTCAGTGAAGGGGCAGCTCACTGTTGCAATAGTGGTAGTTAGTTTCAATGTGGGTCTTGTGACTGTATGGCCACACAGTGCTGTCTAAACAAACACAGGATTCAGTTCATGAACTGTCAGCCAGAGAAATAAGGAACTGCCGATGCTGGAGAATCTGAGATAACAAGGTGTAGAGCTGGATGAACACAGCAGGCCAAGCAGCATCAGAGGAGCAGGAAGGCTCTGTCAGCCAGAGGTGGAATAAAGAGCTTTCTAAATATGATACACAATTAAAGGTATCGGCTGACAGGCTGAGTAATTATCGACAGTTTGTTTTGGCAAGAGCCTCCCTTACAAGCTGCAAACCATTCTCTTGGTCACAGCTGACTTGCCCTGGGTTATGGCCAAACAGGTTCTTTCTCTCTCTCTCTCTCCCTCCCTCTCCCTCCCTTTCTCTGTACAATCGCTGTTACCTGTCACAGGATATAACTCTCCTCAGTACTGCTCATGCAAGTCCTGACCCAGTCCATTCAGTTTATTGAAGTAAAGTAGAAACCTATGGCTGCTGGAAATCTGAAATGAAAAGAGAAACAACAAAAGTAAACAAAAGCTCAGAAGCAAACAGCAGAGTCTTGCAGCATCAGATGGAAAATTCGAGCGTGTAGCTGATCAAAATCAACCGCTTTTATCCCTGGACTGAGATATGTCCAGAGCAGTAAATGGCAGGGTCTGGAGAAGGTGGGAATGGTAGGGTCTGGAGGAGGTGGGAATGGTAGGGTACGGAGGAGGTGGGAATGGTAGGGTGTAGAGGATGTGGGAATGGTAGGGTGTAGAGGATGTGGGAATGGTAGGGCCTGGAGGAGGTGGCAATGACAGGGTTTGGAGGAGGTGAGAATGGTAGGGTCTGGAGGAGGTGGGAATGGTAGGGTATGGACGAGGTGGGAATGGTAGGGTGTGGAGGAGGTGGGATGGTAGGGTCTGGAGGAGGTGGGAATGGTAGGGTCTAGAGGAGGTGGTAATGGCAG